CTCTTTTGATTGTCTGACATCTGATGAAAGGTTCACACCGCCTTTGGCCATTCTATTCATCATTTATTGCATTAGAACAGGGCGAATTCTTCAATAAACGGTAAGTTTAGAAATTCAATGTCAGTACCGTGGTGTAATGGTTCTCGTGACTCGTTTGACTAGTCAACTTTTTTTTATCAACTCGTAATAGTGTTTCGTGATAGAAACTCAATTCTCAGTGGAAATTATCCTGCAGTAATCCATTGAACAATAAGATTAGGTTTAACGTGTAAATGGCAGTACCGTGGATGTCAGTACCGTGGCTTCTATCGAAAATTAACTGTTGGAAATCTTGCTACGTGATTTAATCTATTAAAACTATTTTTATTTCGTTTCAGATGACTCAACAACGTATTCTGCGAGGAAGGAATCATCAGGAGAGTCGGAAATCCATGGCACAGAATAAACAAGAGTCGGTTCAAACACAACAACGAGGGAAAACGATGAAAAACAAGAATTCGAAGCTAACGTAGATCGACAACAGCAACTGGCGAAAAAGAGGGAAGCAGAGAGCAAGGAGAGCAACGATCAAGAAAGATCCGGAGAAACACGAGAAATACTGCCAACGAGAACGAGCCAGAAATCGAAAGAGGAAATTGGATAGTAAAATCAAGGTCGTCAGTGGTCTTACAGAGAAAGAGAAAAAAAATCATCGTAGCAAACAGAATAAATGGAAGAGAAATTCTCGACAAAAAATCACAGCAGAATCACCATTCTCATCACAAGTTCAAGGTCGTGATGATAATGTTCTCTCAAAGCAAGCTAGAGTAGGAAAGAAACGAGTGGCCAAAATGTGAGGAAGTGTTATCGTGAGAGGGTAAAACTGATTGAACAAAATACGAAATTGAAGAAAACGGTAGATAAACTGAGGAAACGAGCTGACAGGATGACAAAGGAGCACTCAACATCCACATCACCAAATTCGAAGGTGCGAAAGTTGGTAAACGGTAGATGTGTACCTGCGGACATCAGACCACGCCTTGTTACATCTGAAGTCCTGGATGACCAATTGAAATCATCGTACAGAGATTCTCACAGCGATAAATTCATGCAAATTCTTGGTAGAGTCTTGTGTGGTAAAGTTATAAGGAAATATCGACAGTGAACTTTTGTGCAGAAACAGATTGCCCCAGTTGTATCTTCTCGAGTACATCTTGATCAGAATCCACTAACAGTGATACGAAAACCAGAGGCAACTTTCCATTTCGTTAAAACTAAAGTCAAAGATTTCTTTGAAGAAAATTCAACCATCGATCCAGGAAAGAAAAATTGGAAGAAAGTCAACAGTGAATTGATTTCCAGACGTTATTTGAACGCGAGTATCAAAGATTTGCACAAAAAATTTTGCACTGAAGCTTCGTTCCGTGTCAGTTACAATTTTTTTGCTAGAAATCGACCCTCTTACTGTGTAGCACAGAAAGTCACTGAGAGAGAGACGTGTGCTTGCTTCATACATGAAAACGTCAGGTTTCTAGTGAGTGCTTTGAATAGAATGACACTCATCGGAGAAAATTCTATAGAAAATGTAATTGCAAGTATCACGTGTGAGGTCAAATCAGAGGACTGTCTTTCGAGGAAATGAGGAGATTTTTCAAGCCGTGAAGTAGAGATCACTCATGACGGGAGCAGTTGCAATGGAGAGATATTTTACATGAAGTGGGTAACATCTACAGTGACACGTGTTAACGAGAAAACTCAAAAACCCATTACCGTCACACTCACTGCAAAAAAGAAAATCACATGCAACATCGATGAGGCGGTGTCTTTATTCAAAGATAACTTGAAGCTCTGGATGGCTCACGAGTATCGTATAACACATCAAAGGACAGCTCTGAAAGGAAAGATGCAGAAATTGAGCGATAAAGACATGTTCCTCCTCATCGATTTCAGTCAAAATTATTTTATCAAATACAACAGGGAAGTACAAGCAGTACACTTTGGAGCTAGCAGGGAGCAATATACTTTACACACGGATATGATGTACACTTCTGGCTTTTCCCAAGATTTTGTAACTCTATCTGAATCTCTGAGACAGGATCCTGTAGCAATTTTAGTGCATCTCAAGAAAATCCTCGATTTTTATTTGCCTCAATTCCCCAAAATAACCAACCTCCACTTCCAAAGTGATGGGCTAACCGCACAATATCGAAACAAGATGTTTTTTTTGGTCGCACAGAAACTGCTTGGAGATTATCCACAAATCAGTCACATTACATAAAATTTCTGTGAGGCGGGACATGAAAAAGAGCCTGCGGATGGCATTGGAGGTAGGCTGAAAAAGTCAGCAGACGATTACGTGGGGTACGGTAACGATGTTTCCAATTTCGAAACTCTCGTCTCAACTCTCCGTACGCAAGTCAAGACAGTCCACATAGATACGGTGACGAGCGAAGAAATTCGTCTGATGGACGCTGCATTACCCACAACTTTGAAACCCTTTGTAGGCACCATGCAGGTGCATCAGTACCAATGGATGAATGACAATCCAGCCAGAGCTTTGTTCAATTCATTGAGCTGTTTCGATTGCACTCCGAATATCGATTGTATACATTTCTCAATGGGATCCATCAATTATGACGTGAAATTACCTCCCGCTGGAGAACCTTCATCTGAAATCCAAAGTGAGCTGACTGGGAAAAGAATATGACGTGGGAAAAAGCAGAGCACTCAATCTCGTCCTTCTGATGAAGATAACTCGACAACAAATATCCCAAGCAAAAAGCCAGTTCGACAGAAGAGGAACAAAATCACGACAGAAGAGTGTGAAACTGTGTCTTAGGTATCCCAAAATCAACCCCTTAGGAGAAGTTCACGGTTTGCGCCCTTTTATATCTTTTATTTTCAGGTTGTTTGTTTCTCTTTCTTCCAAGTAACCTATCTTATCTTTTCCCGGTTCCATTTTCAGGTTCCAGAAGAACATATAAATACCCATCCGATTTCCCATGGCTTACCCAATTGTCGTCCATTCCATAAACGATTCCGACTTTCTTACTACTCCAGCTACATATTAACGAGTTAACTGAACTTCTTTTCATGAGGGATAAAAAGAGAGAATATAGAATATATGGGACCGACTGTAATGTTTAGGTGGGTGAGGTGTTGCTCCGGCAGACATCCAAGCTAAGCAGCGTTGAGCTGGGTTAGTACTTGGATGGGTGACCGCTTAGGAAAACCTCGCTCGCACAAAAATTGCGGGCGGTGGGTACGGTGTAGCCGCCTAGTGTCTCCACCTAGTCAGTGTGATAGATGGATATATTAAGGCACTGCACAATCGACCGGCTGTGCGACTGGGGTTTTACATGGTTTCCCGTGCAATCCTAGCTCGAAAGGGGCTCAGCTAAGAGTAAGACGGCCATGATACCGTAGATAACAATGAGAGGAAAAGAAAGGAGGGGAGGCAGGCTAGAAGAGGGGTTTCAAATCGAGAATTACTTCGATAAAACCAATGAAGTAGAAATAATGAAATAAAATAAAATAGAAAATATGGAAGAAGAAATAAACTGAATAGAGATAACGGTTACAAGATTGATCTGTGATTAAGAATAGAGTCATGAAATTAGTATTATCTTTGTTATAGATTGATGTTATCGATGTTTTCAGTTAATAAATAATGAATTAATCATCCCTAATGGTCTGATTACTGCTAATAATCCCTGTATCTATTCCAGTCTAATTTCGAAAGAAGTCTTCTCTTCAACCCCAATTCAGGTATTATAGATGAAATTCAGAAGGAAAGAAGTAAAACGGTCCAAGTCAACTCAGCTTTTCGCTCAGTTTTCAAGGAATCTAAGAGAGATAGCGCAATTTTTGTGAATACCTTGTTCGAAATGCAGCTTAAAATCTCCATATTAGTCACGGTCAACTAACTCGGCCATCTCCGAAAATCTCCGTGACCCTTCGGGTCAACGGACACAGGTCAGCGCGGCACCCGGAAGAGTCAGTCATCAGTAGTGTTCAAGTATCGTCACGATAATGATCTAGTGTATTCAGTCAATCAGTATTCTAAATTTAATAATTTGTTCAGTACATCAACTTGTTGATTAATTTCAGTCTAAATTCAGTGACTCAACTGATTAACAGTGAAAGACAATCATCAATTTAATTAGGCATTCAATCATTAAAAACCAAAGAGTGCAATAATTTTGACAAGTGGTTCGATCCGACATAAATATAGTGTGATTTTTTATAATTCGCCTAAAATAATTTTCCCAACATCTCCCTCCACATTTTCATCCCACATCCACCCTAACCCTAGACATTCACCAAACAGTGGTCCTTCGAGCCGGATTGTGGGTGAAAAAGTGTGTAAAGTGCTGTGGAAAATCTAAGGGACGCCTCGTGTCGAATAAACTTTCGGGGTTCGCACGGGCAATTCAACGGAAAGTTCTAGAACATTCGCTTTGTTTACACCCGCAAGGGCGACGGGGTAACAAAAGACACAGTGAGTGCATCAGTGTCGGAGATCGGAAAGCATCGGGAGTGATGAGTGTCGCCGAAGCCCACCAACGCTTGGCCACGTGCGCCATGCAACAGGCCACTCACCAAAGTTCGGCGGTCGGTAACTCACCCAACTCTCAGCGGTCGGTAACTCACCCAACTCTCAGCAGTCGGTAACTCACCCAACTCTCAACAGCCGATAACTCACCTAAACCGACAACTTAGCACGGACAATCACCATGCCAGACGACACTAAAGTCAACGAACCCAAGGAAGAAACTCAACAACCAATGAGCGATAGTGAGGAAATCGAGCAAGTCACACAAGAAGAGGGACTGCCAGCAAAAAATGAAGCAGTTACAACGAAGCCAATCACCACTCCTGAGGAAATCAACAGTCCAAGTGGATCGTCAGGATCAAGGGAACCTGCTCAACGAAAGTCAACGCCTGCAGCTTCAAAAACAGCACTCACCATGTAACAGGAAGGTCAATTAAGATTATTAACGTTCAAGGTAGAGACTCTGATGGAAATCAATGATGACCTCCCGCAGGACGTTGAAACCGAAGAGGACCTCACCCTAGAGGAATTAGACGGGCACAAGGGGATAATCGAGGCAGAATGGAGCGAATATTTTCAAATTTATGCCAATCTAGCTGAGTTTCTTCCACCTGATCACGAGTATGTCAACGAAATGATCCATGAACGAGCCACCAGCACAAGACGACAAGCCCTGATGCTCATTGCTCGGCTGAAGGGTCAACTGGCAAGAAAGAAGGATTCAATTAGCAGCTCAACGGATCAAAGCCAGGCAAATCAGCTGAAGCGTCTTGACATCAAGCCATTCGATGGGAAACCGGAGGAATGGAAGGAGTTCAGTGACCTTTTCTTGTCACTGGTGGGAAACGTAACGTCAATCCCACCAGTACAGAAATTGGTGAGACTAAAGGGTTGCCTGAGAGGTCCTGCACCAGCTCTCCTCTCAACCTTTCAGGCCAAGGACGAAAACTATGAAAAGGCTTGGCAGAAACTCACCAGGAAGTACGAGGACCCAAGGCTCGTCGCTCAGTCGCTGTTCAACAGAATCCTTACGTTACCGAAAATCACCCAAGCGACAGAAGAGAACCTCAGCACCAATGGAGTAGCAGCATTGGAGACCCTCGATCAACTGCAAGACGTGACGGGGTTAACGACGGAAAACATCGCTGAACAGCTGATAGCCCACTTGCTGAGGAGATCTCTTGATGCAGAGACACTCAAGCAGTGGGAACTAAAGTTGGGAGACTCCAAGGATTTCCCGAGCCTTAAGGAGTTCGTGGCATTCATCGAGGCCTGCGGCAGAGGGACCAACGCAGGTGCCAAGCTGTTATCAATGAAGGAAATCAACACAGCCACGAAGAAGTCAGCTCCACCAAAGAAAAGGAGCACCTATACAGCAGCAACTCACCATCAGGAGACTAAGGAGCCAGAAAGACAACTTCCCAGGAACTGCTGTACCTACTTTCAGGATAAACATTTCATCGCATCCTGCCAGAGGTTCATTGAGCTCACCCCAGCTAAGAAAAACGAAGTCGTTATCACCAAGGGGCTGTGCTTCAACTGCTTAAGGCCACATACGAAGGCCAAGTGCACGTCGGACAAGAAGTGCCACAGATGCAGCAGGTATCACCACACTCTCATCCATGGAGGGAGCTCATGGACGATGAGCCCGCTTCCAGCCCGACGCAGAACAGCTGAGCCCATCCCGACTGCCGGAACGTCCAGGCAGCAAGAGGATCACGGGAACAGTGAGTGAATGAACTCAACCTCAATAGCACACTCACCATCTCATTGATCATTCCTCAACACTAGAATCTAGTACATCACCACCAGTAGCAGTGAACTTCAACAACAAAATGATCAATGAGAAAGCAGAGAACATCAACCACGAAATTCACCAAGGAGAAGCAGATTAACAGTCAGTGCTGTTGGCAACAGCACGAGTAAAAGTAATATCACCGAGAATTCACGACAAAAGCCAGAGCACTCATCGACCAGGGTTCAGAGGTATCGTTTATCTCCGAACAATTAGTTAATCAACTGCATTTACAGAGAAGAGCATCAACAGTGGAGCTAGTGGGAATTAATTCAGGACACACCAGAGGAATAGTCTCAGTCACTCTACAAGCGAGCCACGGGACTCATCAACTGCAACTCAACGCCCACATTCTAAAGAAGCTCACCGTAATAATTCCGTCATTTTCATGCTCATCAGCGAGGATCGGCTCACTTCAGAATCTTCAGCTAGCCGATCCCCATTATCTAAGGCCTGGACCAATCGACATCATACTAGGGGCTGACAACTATGGGCGGATCATCATGGATGAAGTTGTCAAGTCAGTGCAATCGAGAGTAGTTGGCCAACGCACAGTATTCGGATGGATACTATCCAGACCAATCGAATGCACAAATTGTTCAATAAAGGTATCTCTATCAGCTGTACGAGAATCTTCAAATGAACAACTTCTAGAGCTTCTCCAGAAATTTTGGGTCCAGGAAGAACTGCCAAACGAGAGATCATCAACATCAGAGCTTTCACCAGATGAGTACGAGTGCGAGATGCACTTTAGAGCAACTCATAGCAGAGACAACACCGGGCGATACATCGTGAGACTGCCCCTCAAAACTTCAGCAGCAGTGCTCGGAGAATCGAAATTCAAAGCAGCACGTCAACTCAAATCGATCGTGAGTCGACTCAACACAGATCAAGCATACTCCCAGTTGTACAGAGAGTTCATCAACGAGTACGCAGCACTGGGGCACATGAGAATAGCACCAGAGACTCCAGAACCCGTGCCAGCGTACTATCTTCCACATCACGGGGTACTGAGAGAGGAGGCCATCACAACGAAGCTGAGAGTCGTATTCAATGGCTCCAGCCCCAGTTCATCAGGTATGTCACTTAACGATATACTGTATTCTGGTGAAAAATTACAGCACGATGCCAGGCTCATGTTTGGCACGGATATTGTCAAGATGTTCCTTCAGATACGAGTTCACCAAGGTGACTGGGATCTTCAGAGAATCCTGTGGATCGACGAGAATCAACAACCAGTCACCTACCAGTTAACGACAGTCACCTATGGACTAAATTGTTCTCCATGGTTATCGTTACGCGTTCTTCAACAACTAGCAGAAGATGAAGGGTATCGCTTCCCAGCAGCAGTAGAGACACTCACCAGAGGTCGTTACGTTGACGACATTTACGGCGGTGCAGAGACAGAAAACGGTCTCAAGGAGATCGCAACGCAACTACAAGGGCTTTGCCATGCAGGAGGCTTCTCTTTACAGAAGTGGAGCAGCAATTGTCCAGAGGCTCTGCATGATTTGGGCCTATCAACTGAAGAAGAAATTATCCAGTTCGAGGAGTCAGTCACCAAGGTACTTGGATTGTGTTGGCATCAATCCACCGACACATTCCGATACAAATCAAAGAATTTTAATACGACGACAATCACCAAGAGAGTAGTCTTTTCTGAAATAGCCCAGATCTTTGATCCACTGGGATTTATCGCACCAGTTGTCGTCCAGGGAAAGATTCTCCTACAAGATCTTTGGAGATTGAAATTAAAATGGGATGATCCTCTTTCAGACGAGTATGTTCAACGTTGGAAGACATTCCGAGAGAATCTCAACGACCTAGACAGAGGAACTGTACCTAGATGGATAAGAATTTCAATAGAGACACTCAACATCCAAATTCATGGATTTGCAGACGCTTCAACGGTAGCCATGAGTGCAGTGCTGTATATTCGCACCAAAATCATCAACGACTCAACATCAACAGTGCTGGCATGCGCGAAGACGAAGGTAGCACCACTCAAGCGCATGACCATCCCTCGTCTAGAGCTCACAGCGGCTCTTCTACTGACTCAACTAGTGGCATCAACGAAACAAATGCTCCAACTCGACCAGGTAGACACCTATCTCTGGTCTGATTCTTCAGTAGCACTAGCTTGGATCAGGAGCCACGCATCAAGATGGAAGGACTTCGTCCACAACAGGGTCGTCAAGATCCAGGAAACTCTCCCGAATGCTACCTGGAGACATGTCAGTGGAAAGGAGAATCCAGCTGATTGTGCCTCCAGAGGCATATCACCGAGCCAGCTAGCAGATCATCAACTGTGGTGGTCAGGACCTGAATGGATCAATCAGGATCCTAAAGAATGGCCACACTCATCAATCGACGCTCCAGCCATGGATATCCCAGAGGTGGTCAGAGAAGCAAAACCAGCACCAGCACATCCAGTTGCAATTGAAATCAACGAAATTGCAGAGCTACTCAACAGGTATCAGACGATGGCTAAATTGATAGCCGTAACAGCTACGGTCAACAGAGCTATCGACAGATTCAGGAGGCAGCCAACACCCCCGGGACCTGTCTTGACAACAAGAGAACTCAACGACGCGAGGTTATTTTGGGTAAAGATAACCCAACATCAATACTTTGGGCCAGCCATTCGAGTACTCCAGAAAAATCACCAACTACCGAGAAATCATCAACTAGCGAAGCTGACACCCACACTAGACAACGAAAGGATCATGAGACTTGGGGGACGCCTCAAGAACTTGCAGTTAAATCCAGATGAAATTCACCCAATAATCTTGCCTCGCCAGTCACGCCTCACCACACTAGTCATCGAAGAAGCTCACCGCAAAACACTCCACGGAGGAACTCAACTCACCTTGGCCTACACACGTCAAAGGTACTGGATAATCGGCGGCAGAGGCACAGTTAGAGCATATATTCAACGCTGTGCCATCTGCACCAAACACCGAGGAAGACAGGCCCAGCAATAGATAGGTCAACTACCAGCAATGAGAATCTCACCAGTAAGAGCATTTCTCCACACAGGGGTGGAATATGCAGGACCATTCGGCATCCTCAAATGGAGACCAACGAATGCACAACCAAGGTCAGTGCACATTGCAGTTTTTGTGTGCTTCACCACATCAGCAGTTCACCTAGAGCTAGTCACCAGACAGACAACGGACGCCTTCATAGGAGCCTACAAGAGATTCACCGGAAGGCGGGGTATTCCAGCTGTCATGTACAGTGACAATGCCACTACCTTCGTAGGCGCAGCAGAGGTCCTAGAGAAGATCTATCACCGAGCATCCAGAGAAAATCAGCAGGTTCAGGCTGCTCTCGCCACCAATGGGACTCAATGGAGCTTTTCACCACCACGAGCACCCCATTTTGGTGGCAAGTGGGAAGCAGCCGTGAAATGAACAAAGTATCACCTTAGAAGAGTCTTGGGGACAACAACACTCACATTTGAGGAACTCAACAGTGTCGTGATCCAGATAGAGGCCTGCCTAAATTCAAGGCCAATCTGTCCCATGTCAGATGACCCAGACGATCTCCAAGTACTCACCCCAGGACACTTCCTGATAGGTGAGCCTCGTCAACTGATTCCAGAGCCATCAATCATCGACAAGAACCCCAGCAAACGGCAGAGATGGAACCTGGTAACGCAGCTAACTCAACAATTCTGGTCCAGGTGGGCCAAAGAGTGTCTTCAACGTTATCAAGCAATCTATAAGTGGACACATCGAGAAGAGAACATCAAGGTTGGCCACATGGTGCTGATGATCGACGAAAATTATCCACCAGCACAATGGCCAATCGGACGAGTCATTGCGACACGCCCAGGAGCAGATGGACTAACGAGAGTCGCAACTATAAGAACCGCAAAAGCAGAAGTACCAAGGCAGGCAGATGGATCACCAATCATAGAAAACATCGGAACAATCTACACAGAGCTTGACAGATCAATCACCAAGCTTTGCCTACTGCCATCAGATCCACCACCTCCAGAGCAACCTTCAGACGATGATGCAGAAGAAGCTCAACAGGATTAGAATCACCATCATCCCTGATGATGAATTGCCATATTAGTCACGGTCGACTAACTCGGCCATCTCCGAAAATCTCCGTGACCCTTCGGGTCAACGGACACAGGTCAGCGCGGCACCCGGAAGAGTCAGTCATCAGTAGTGTTCAAGTATCGTCACGATAATGATCTAGTGTATTCAGTCAATCAGTATTCTGAATTTAATAATTTGTTCATGGGTCCGGTACGATTCGTCGAATGTTGATTGGTCTAAAATTTTTTTGTCGAATGGTTCATTTGGTCGAAAATCAATTTGTCGAAGGTTTTTTTGGTCGAAAATTCATTTCGTCTAATTTTTCGATTCGTTGAAAATGGTGTTAGAAGTTTCTACTCTAAAGGGCATTCGAAAAAAACTTTACAAATTGCGAAGAAAATTCAATTTATTGTATAGTTGTTAATTTTTTTAAAGTTCATTGTCTTGATGTGACTTTTCAATATTTGTTCCTCTTTCATTGAAACGGAAACAATGTCCTGAATAATGTTTTAACAAAGGAAAGTCGACTGATAATAATATTTAATTCACAATACGAACAATACGAAGACAATAGTTTAATTTAATTGGAAGAATTTAATTTAGTTCAACAATATTTTTTTATGAGTCAATTTTTACGAACAGTTCTCCAATAAGAAACGAGTACACAAGGTTGCATGCAAGACTTCTATGTACATTGAATTTGGTATTTTGTGTCACACGATTTATCAAATATCTACAATTTGTCAGCGAGAAAAATGATTTAAATAGGTTTATATATGTGTATAGAGTCTAATGATTTGAACGATTAAAGACGTTTCAACATAAATATGGTTTAACTATTCACTCTTTTCTTTTCTTCAAATATCGTTCAACTTCGTTAGATTATTGATCGTTCCGTTTGTGTTATTGTCATTCATCTAAGACTTTTACCCAATTTTAATGTTGTGTGCCAAGCCTCGAATCCAGTCGAGTACGTCATCGTACTGTTCACGTTCTTGGAATATTTGTCTGATACGTTCCTCTCTCACTGCGTCTGCTCTTTTCATCTTCGGTCGTCCTTCCCCACGATTTATGTATTCAATTTCGCCTTCCTCCGTTTTTTGCTCTTTTTTCAGCTCGTTGATTAGGGTGTACATACCTGCATGTAAGTGCCCAACGAGGGAACGCAATCGTCGGTGCCAGGCCTCAATTTTATTTTGGGTTCTTGGAAGGTTTTCCTCCATTCGATCATGTACAGACCACAGACTCGGTGGAAATTTTGGTGCTGATCGTTTTGGTTTACCGCGAAGTAAACGGATCACTTTTCCGTGTACGTAGTTGTCATCGAACCAATCGACGATAGGCTTTGCTTTCTCGGGAATTTCTTCCTTTAATTCATCCCATGCTGGAGGAATTTCGGTTGCAGTGAGAAATGCCAAAGAAGTAATTTGTCGAATAGCAATGCTGAAGTTTTCATTCGTACCATAGTCCTTGACTAATTTATTCGACTGTAGTTTTCTATAAACACATTGACGCAGGTGAAAAAGACAAGCGCCATTCCGAGCTTCTGGGAAATGAGAGTCCGGGACAATGATCGGTGCTAGTTCCAAAACCGTAATAATATGATTTTGACTGAGGTCAATGTCATTGGCTTCTGCGTATTCGATTAATCCTCCAAAGAAAGCATCATAACATTCTTTCGATTTACTTGACATGAGCGTGTACACAAGCGGAAGAGTCCTACTACGTTCGGGTGGGTCCACAGGTGCATGAATTGAATATAATTGGAGGAACATATTGGGTACAACATCGAAGGTCCCGTCCATGATCCAATACGTGGCTTGACTCAGTTTATTCAAGTTAGCAACTGTTGAGAAGATCAACACTTTGTTATTATTGATATCTATTTCTTTTATTAAGAAAAGTTCATTACTGAGTGTGTGCTTGTATTCATTTGGGATAAGCAACTCATCTAATGTTTGGGGCTCGGCGTCCTTGCCCTTTCACGCCCTCTTCACTGTTTGTTTTAGTGCATTCGTGTTAGGGAGATATGGGCGTATGTTTGGATCTGTAGTTGCAATTGTATCTTGGATAATTTTACAAGTGGATTCACCAGTGTCAGCAGCTTTTCTCTTCATGGCTTGCTTAACTTTTGCCAGAGGGGCACGAGACGCTTCTGCGGAGTGGAAATGATGTTTGAATTTTTGTAGTTTGTGTCCATTGCCATTAGATATCGTAGTTGCAGTTGCATTGCATGTTCTGTCTTCACATCTCCAGTATTTAAATTGGTCACCATTTCCACGCACAACTGTTTTGTTGAGTGTATGTAAACATCCATGGATCACTAGTTTATCGTATCCTCGTTCGGAAGGCACAAACTCGAAGGGTTCATCCTTTTCTGTCATTTTTTTCAACTTTCTATCATTGTCCGTAGTTGTTTTAATTAGTTTGTTAGGTAAATTAGTTCACTGGCACGTTCTGTTTTTATTGGATGTACTGTTCGTATTTAAGTTGAATTTTCATTCATAATTTGTACCGAGTTGTTCGAGAGGCGCACGTGAACTGAACTGTCGTATTCGCAAGGACCTGTTTACGTTTTCGGTTTTGCTTTCATTCTCTAATTGATGTTATCATTACTATTTGGGTGCGAATGTGTTGCTGTTTATTCTGTGAGGCGTGTGTGTGCAGTTGTAATGAAGTTACTGATGTGTTTGGTAAATGTAAAGATTCAATTGAAGCATCAATAGTTTTTGTTTTTTCTGCATATTTACTCATCAAGAAACTCACTGTTTTGAAAATTATTTGTTTTTCGACCAATCGTCCCATTCGACTGATTGTTTTTTAGGCCAATTGGTTTTTCGACAAATCGTACTTTTCGACGAATCGATTTTCGACGAATTGGTATTCGACAAAGTGTCATTCGACCAATGGTATTTCGACGAATTGTACCTAACCCTTTGTTCGGTACATCAAGTTGTTGATTAATTTCAGTCTAAATTCAGTGACCTAACTAATTAACAGTGAAAGACAATCATCAATTTAATTAGACATTCAACCATTAAAAACCAAACAGTAATAATTTTGACAAGTGGTTCGATCCCACATAAATATAGTGTGATTTTTTATAATCCGCCTAAAATAATTTTCCCAATATCTCCTCCCTCATTTTCATCCCACATCCACCCTAACCCTAGACATTCACCAAACATACCTTTTTTGTAGCTCTTATTTCGATTTACAAAAAAGGTCCCAAGAAAAATTCCTCTATCTGTTCTAGATCCTGAGATATTCATCAAAAACTAACCGCCGATAAAATCATTCCATCTCTTCGCTAGTGAAGTCTATAATCATCAGGCCATTACTTCAAGGTTTTTGAGGTTGTAGCGCACTGGCGCTCGAAAACTCCATCAATCTATACATAGAATCGAAATATGGGCCGAGATGCACTCTAATGACATGTTCATAATCTTGAAAAATGAAATTCAGAAAATGACAGTTTTCGGATAATAACCTATATGTCTCTTCAGTCATAGGGCATCCGCTTTAAATGAGGTATTCCATGCCAAATGAATCAACGGCTGACCCTCACCCTTTTGGAAATTGATCTCGATTTTTTCTACGATTGAGAGGCTAAAAAAACTATCTCTCAAATTTTTTCAGATTTTTTTAACAGCCTATTTCGGAGATATGATTTTTTCTTTGTTTTTTCGTTTTTCTTTTCGAAATCCCACGAATTAGGTCAAAATATCCCAAAATGACTTATCAAAATATCCCAAAATGATTATATATCAAAAAAATATGTAACATGTAAACGAGTGAAAATAAAATAGATCTAGAACGAAACCCAACTTATATGACGGCTCAAAATACTTATTTTGATTGCAAGAGTTACTGAAACAAAGACGAGAAAAATAAAACGTGACATAATTCTGAAAATTCAAGTATTTCAACTTTTTTTTTTAATTCGGTATTATGAGCCCTTGAAAAAAACAATTACTTAAAATATTTTTATATATGGTAGAAAATCGAAAATGTTGAGGTGTAATAAATAAAAATTGGGTGAATTGAACTGGAGTTATTGAAAAAAAAAACGAAAACACAAAGAAATAATTATATCCCTGAAATGAGCTGTTGAAAAAATCTGAAAAAAATTGAGAGATAGCTTTTCTAGTCCCATATAGTTTACAAAAAACATCCATATTCAGTTTTGAGGCTTTCGCGGCCATGATTAATGAAATCTTTGATTTTCGGATGGATGCCGCGTTTGGATTCAGCGTTGCGCCGACGTTTGGCAAACATTGCAGTCTGCATCTTCAGGGCTATGAGCTCCGATTCTGAGCTCTGATGTCTAGGGGTAGTCCTTTGTGACGAGGCATATTCATTTATTTTTTATGATTTTTCTACATATTTTTTCCCACTAAACACTGCCCCCTAAAAGGTAAATCCCGCCACCGTTGGATACCCCTTCCCCAGACTTTTCCCCTCATCACCCCTCTACCCGCCCCTGGACATCACGAAGACATCAGCCGAAGGAAGACATCAGTTTCGGCCCCACCCGATCAATTGGAGAAGCCATCGCCTCCTGGAAATTCCCCATACTAGACCCCCGAATATTCAACACCTGCAATAATCCCTTGCGAGACATCCCTGGATTGTGGTCATCGTCACCACTCACCCTTGCTGATTGGCCCCGATTGCTCCCGAATTAAAACCCGAAGGACTTCGACACCTGACGAACCCCCACGAATCGCGGAGGAAAAGTAAAGACCGTCACTCGTGTAACCGCTGTCCTGGACCCTGCCACGTGCGCCCCAAGAGTTGAAGAAACAGTGCAAATACCCCGAAGAACCCGTATATTGGATTTTGTATTCAAGTAAAGAGGATGTTTGGTGCCCGAGCTCATCCCGGCTCTAAACACCGTGCCCCTGGAGTCTGGAACGAGGAACGAAGGCTCAATCGCAGGACTCGCTGAAGGACCTGGATTAGACCATAACTGGAAGTCGTGAGGACGAGTTGTCCCCCTCATTTCCCCCTCGCCTCAAGAAGTATTCCTTTTCATACCCCCCAACGGTCAGCCTATACTCTCTTGTTTCTTCCCCTTCAGCTATCATTTATTTATTTAGTTGCATTCCCTCGACACGACTAGCTTCTCCCCTTTTTCCTGCATTAGAGTCACTCCCTTTTTACGTGTACAAAAGTTGCCTCGCCTCCCCCACTCCCTAGATCTCATTGAAGGCATAATTTACGTCTTTTGACGATCAGAATTGTATTTAGAGAAAATATAGGTAATTATTCTCAAATTATCCCTTATTTCTCCCTAATCCTCTTTTCAGGAATTAGTCTAATAGAATCTAGAAAACGGTCACACCTTATATGCCTTCCCTTGTGGTGGTGGGGGAAGGGGAAGAGGGGGGTGGTCAGCCAATCATATGTTTTTAATTGATCAGCTGGTCAATTAAAAAACCGGGAGGACGGTTTTCTAAATGGGGTTCACTTGATATCCTCTGTCCCTGTTGAGGTTGTTAGGGTTTTTATGGATCTCCAAACCCTCTCGGTATTGCCTTTCGAAATACCCTTGAGATTTGGCCAACATTCTGGCTTGGTCGTACTGGATAGTATGTCTAGTGTCCATCCAGTGTTCATCCAGGGCAGACTATTCTAAGTGACCGTATTTGGAGCACCGCAGGTGTTCCTTGATCCGTGTACTGATCTTCCTCCCGGTTTCTCCAATGTACACTTTCCCGCATGAGCAGGGGATCTCGTACACTCCTGGTGTGCTCAGAGGTGGTCTTGGATTCTTTGCACTTGGCAGCATCTGTCCGATCTTCTTTGGAGGCTGGAAAATCGTTCGAATGTTATGTTTGCCAAGTACTCTACTTATGCGTTCTGTTGTGCCTCTCAGATAGGGGAGGAGGGCCACTTTTGGTCTTTCCTGGTTTTCCTCAGGATTAGTCTCCTCTTCGGGAGATGAGAGCTTGCTCTGTAGCTTCTGCTTGACCTTCCGAATTTGTTGGATGTTATATCCATTCTTGGTCAGAGCTATCTCAAGATGTTCAACTTCACTGTCAACGTTGGAGGGTTGAGAGATTGTGAGTGCTCTATACATTAGGGAGCTAATAACGGAATTCTTCTGGGAGGGGTGGTGATGGGAGGTAGCATTGAGATACCTATCTGTGTGGGTTGGCTTGCGATATACTTGGTGGCCTAGAGTGCCGTCCTCGTTGCGTCGAACCAGGACATCTAGGAATGGAAGACATCTATCTTGTTCAATTTCCATAGTGAACTTGATGCTCACGTGCTGAGTATTCAAGAACTCCAGGAATTCAGTTAGAGCAGTCTTTCCATGTGGCCAGATGACAAAGGTATCGTCCACATACCTGAACCATACAGTAGGTTTCTGAGGTGCTGACTTCAATACTTCGTTCTCGAAGTGTTCCATGAATATATTTGCAATAATCGGGGAAATGGGAGAACCCATTGCCGCTCCCGATGTCTGCTCATAGTACTC